ATAGGGATCAAGGTCTAGGGCTAGCTCTGAGGGAGAAAAAGATGAGACTGAAAAACAACTAAAGCAAAGCAAAGGGTTAGGGGAGTGACTCAAGAGGTGGAGTGCCTAACTATCAAGCATGAGGCCCTGAATTCAAACCCCAGTACTATCAAAATTTAAAAAAAAATCTAATTTTCCAGCCAAGTTGGATGAGAGTTCATGGTTCAAACTACTTCCTTTTGAGTGGAATACTCACTATACTCATTCATTTCAAAAGTCAAAATGCTATAATATTAGAGGACTAAAATCATTCACTAATTTGTGAACAAGATTTTCATTCCAAGAGTTGAGTCTTGTTTTTTTTCTGTTGCTGCTGTAAGAAGGTTCTGTGTTTTCCATGATGTCATCACCACCCCCACTGAAATGCCAGTGTCTTGTAGCCCTGCGGTGGGGCTGCTCTCTCAAGTTCACAGGGAAGCCAGACCAAATACTAACACCCACTTTAACAAATGTATGAAAAACAGAAACAAGAAAAACAAGCCCACCCAGAAGAGATAGGCATGCACACCTTGCTCTCAGCTGTGATGTGAAATGGATACTCTCTGGAACCTGCTGGACATTTTCTCAAACTCCCTCAGCTGTGGATTCTCATTTAGGGAAAAAAGTGATTGCTGTTACACAAATTACTAGAGAAAGAAAAGCAGATCTGCCATATTTGCTGGTTCATGTCAGGAATATAACTTAAATCCTTTTATTCAAGCTAAAATATGTTTTTCTGGTACATTTTCAAGAGCTGTTTGAATGGAAGAAGCATAGCAATTCTGAAACACACCTCTCTCTGCCTTCCATGTTTCCTTTTATTGCTCAGGACAGATTTTCAGCATAATTAAAAGGAAGGACAGAATTTGTGATTCATTCACTCACTTCCGTCAGTAGTTTCAATGCTGAGGTGTCCTAAAACTTCAGCCATTCTTTGAAAGCTGAGCTCAGGAATATTTTTTTTTCTCTTTTATTCTGGTCCAAGGCAAATATTTGTCTATTGAGAAATGTATAGCACATTTGAATCATAAACCCACCATCTGCTTAAAATGAGCTAACACCCATCTGTAAGGAGACGGACATGGGCCGGTATCCTGTTTCTGCAGCCCATAAGCACAGGTAACTGACGCTGGGGCCCGGGCTTGTTTGAGCTGCCCCATGCTAAGATTGCCTGATAAAATTCCAAAGGGTGTGTCTATTTGTGGCAGTCCATAAAGATTACTTTCAGCTTCTCTTAGAGAATACTTTTTACAGCAGTGGGGTCAGAAAGAGTCTACGTTGTCATCAGCTTCTGGTAACGTGGATTCTCTCTTCTAATGTTCTTGTGCAAGGAATGAAATAAGTCATTTGGCATTCTGCAGTATGTCAGCAGGTTGCTAACTGTGAAGAGCTGCGTTTCTCCAATCCTAGCAGGGACACAGAGGATGATAGCAGGAAAGGACACTTAGAGCAGCACACACTTTTTAAAATGACCAGTCCTCCCATTTTAAACTGACAAAGACATTTGACTGATGTCACCATAGTGTTCTCACTGACATACTAGCTCTCTCCCTTGACAGTAAGCTTTCAGAAACTTGGGAAATGACTTCACAGTGGAGAACTGTTCCTTGAAGTAGCTGCCTTTGCTTTTGAAAGAAGCCCTCTAGAGGACAAAAATTTCAGGCCAATCACTTCACATAAAGTTTTAGGTTTTTAGTAGTTTATAATACTTGTAAGGGGGTTTTGTTGTGACATTTCCATATATACATATATTGTTCCCTAGTTTGGATCATCCCCTTCATTGTTCCCCCTCCCCCTTCTTAAAATGATTTTGGCAGGTTTCGTGTTCCATATTCGTATATATATATAGAAAATGCATCAGCCACATTCTCTCTCATTTACCCTCCCCCTCCCCCACTAGATCCCTTCTCTTAACATGACCTGTTTTACATTTCTGTCCTTCATTGCTTAAGTGTCTGCTCATTGTTCTGTGGGATTTTGCCTTGGTATTTTATCTGTGAATATATTGCATTTTAATCAGTCCAACCCCTGCTATTACTCTTCCTTACCCTTTCTTTCCCCCACCCTGCATTGTTCAAGTTTTCAGTGCATTTCCTTGTGTCTCATCCCTACACATGTGATACACCTCAATATTACTCACTCTCTATCATTTTGTTCTTCTTTCCTTCCTCCCCCAGGCTCCTATAAGAGTTCCACTATTGGAAATATACTATATATACATACATATACTGCTGTGTTTGTATTTGGATCTATTTTCCACATAGAACAGGAAACATGTGACGTTTGTGTTTCTGAACCTGGCCAACTTCACTTAACGTGATGGTTTCCAGTTCTATCCATTTAACTGCACATGACAAAAGATCATTCTTCTCCATGGCTGAATAATATTCCATTATATATATGTAGATATATGGAGGATAGAACCTGACAAACTTATTTTTGGAAATGCTTGTTCCATTTTGGTAGGGTTTCTTTTGATGTGTGTGGTGGGAAGTTTTGGTGCATTGTTCTCCATCATGGGAATCCTGCAAGATGGGCGTGGGAAGAAAAAGCACCTGCATTGGTTTTCTAGGGATGTGCTAACCACTACCATAAACTGGGTGATTTGAATGCAGATTTATTGTTTCCGGTTCTGGAGATGAGGTCTCAGACCAAGACGTTGTCAGGGTTGTTTCCTTCTGACAGCTGTAAAGGAGAATTTGTCACCCAATAGGTTTGTGGTAATCTTTGGCATCCCTTGGCTTTGCTGTATGGCCTCAACCTTTGCTTTCATGTTCCAGTATGACCACATCTTAAGTAATTGCATCTTTAATAATCTTATTTTCAAATAAAGTCCAATTTTGAGGTAGTAGGGCTTAGGACTAAAACCAATTAACTTTTTGAGGAGCATAATAGTATTGTGTCTTAGAAAATAATGTTAATACTTTTACAGAAGCTGCAGTAATCAGTTGTACTCTAGCAGAAAAATCTAGTGGTATTCTAGTAGATTCATTCCAGAAAAGTTGCTTGTAGTGTTCATGAACTGAATCACAGCAAACATCAAATGAGTGTGTTTAATGGTACCATTATTGTGTGTGCTCTCCACAATCTTGCTTCCTCCCAACATTCACGCAGTTTACTTTGTGAAATCGTGTGTGTGTGTGTGTGTGTGTGTGTGTGTGTGTGTGTGTGTAAAAGAGAGTGGGGGAAGGGAAGAGACTTTCTGTTCTCGAGGGTTTTTCTTTAATGAAAAAGATAGACATTGTACAAGAAACACACTTAAGAAGCAGCAAAGAAAATACTTCTGTTTCTTCACTCAATAAGGACGTTCATGAATGTACAAATTGCATATAATTGTTTTAAGATTTGCTGTGAAATCATAAGCAAATCTTTATGTATGTATATAAAGCAATGTGATTAAAAAAAGCAGGTTTGCCTGAAACTTGGTATACTCTTATTAACTGTAAAGTTCTGAGACATCCTACCAAGAAAACTCTGTGTGATTTTATATTTTAGAGTTAAACCAATGAAAAAGAATTTCTTTAGTCCCTATAATATACTTCATTCTTTATTTTATCATATCAATTATCATAATAATGGAATACAATCTCATATCATTCAAAAACTCAAGGATGCTGCGTCACCTGTGAAGCCCAACACCCCTATTAGGGCCGGGCTGACATTGCTGATCCCACATCATCTCATTACATTGTTTAGCAGTGATTTTATATATATATATATATATATATATACATGCCTTCGTGGCATATATGCAATAATGGAATCAATTATATTACTTTAAATTGTTAAGTGAGAGAATGCCACTGCATTTTCATGTCCTAGTATTCATTTAAAAATTAATCCAAGTTTGATCTAAAATGAAAATAGAATGTAATATAAAAGTAGAACACAATATTCTTTTGCAAATAGGATATAAGTATATCTAGTACTAAAGGTCACATGACCTGTTTATATCTAAACAGACCAATTTACTAAAGGTCTACTTAAAATGAACACAGGGGCGATCAAATAACATCTAGAGGAAACCTTGCTTTCTCTGACTCATTAAATGGTGGAGTAAGCCAGGTGTCTAAATCATAGGGTTTCTATCTCAGAACAATTCAGATTTTGTTACATGCAGCCAAATTCTACAGGTTAGGGAAATTTGTGCCCATCTTACACATTTTCTACCTTCTGATAATTATTCCTGTCTATTTATGGCATTTCCTCTAGCAGGAATTGTTGCTATTATTTGAAGGAACTGAAGACAAAGTACTGACTCTCTGGAAGCTTTCAGTGAAGAACTGATTTGGTAGCTGGAGACCTGGTGATTTCAGAATAGGTATAGAATCATTACCTGCTGGTTAACTGGAGAAAGTCTTCAGTCTTCCTGAGGCAGCTACACTTTTCTTAAAATACTAAGCATTTTAAAGTTTCAGCTCAATAATTAAATTAAGGAAAACATGTAGTTGAGTTTTAAAAATATACCTTAGATTTATGGTAACTAGGTTTTAAACATTTATCTTAATTAAAGGAGGAAAGTGGTTTAATTTGAAATATGCTGCTGAAATTTCAAGTAAGAAGTGAAAAGAGATACGTCTATTTGCTTTGGTACCATGGAGATTATTTATGACTTATGCTCTCAGGTTTGACATTGTGGAGAGGCCAAAATTAAAATGCGATTAGTTGACAGAATGAATGAGAGGTAAGAAAATAGAAGCAACCAAGACAGACACCTCTTATTTAATCCCTTCCATTTCTACCATAACTCTTGACTATGACAAGCTTTCTTTGATATGATGTTGGCAGAAATCAAACCACTGTATTTTTATGTTCAGGTTTCAATAGCATTTATTGTAATATTTTACTTTCATAAGAATGTCTCAAACACATTAAAACACTTAAATAATGTTGTAACGTTACAGCATTAGTATTTGTCAGTGAGCCAAAGGTTTTCTTCATGACACTTGACCCCTTATAATTGGAGGCATTTTCCATCATCCTTATAATTCTGATTGAATAAGTCTTAATGCTTTCTTCATGTTTTCTATCACTGAAATAAGAGGAAAAGTATATTGTGTTATTAATAAATGAAAGCATCAAGTGTTTTGGTCTATTTACCATAGGATCTGAAATTGGTCCATTTAAATTAATAGCTTTGAAAACATGGGAATTAATTAGTGATGTTAAAGAATATTGTGATAAAAATGTAAACTTAGGAATAATACCAGTCAGAACTGGTGGATCAAATTTCTTTACAATTTTGTCAGAGGAATTTTGAGGAATATCTATTTTCCTTTTTCTTTATTTTTGGCAGTACTGCAGTTTAAACTCAGAGCCTTGCTCTTGGTAGGCAGGCACTCTACCACTTGAGCCATACCCTCAATCCTTTGATTTCTTTTTAATCAGTTATTAAACTGATCTCATATTGCTGGATCTGCGAGGCATAGTTGTCTGTTAAATATCATTAAATATCATTCAATAGATTGACATTCTAAGTCTATACCTTCTTGCTTATAGGTATTAAAGAAAGGTAAAATTATTACATTTTTATCATTGGAGGAAGTCGATTTCTACGATTTCTGATACCAGGAGAATTGTTTATCTCTGTTATTGTTTGTGTCATTTTAATGTGTACTAGTTCTTTTTAGTGGTCTCAAAATTTATTGACCATAAGAATTCATAGGTATTGCTGTTAAAACAGAGATTGAGGTACCCCAGTGGGAGCTAGGAGTTTGCATTTTAAACACCACCAGCAGCCCCAGTGATTCTGGGTTGTGGATAACACTAATATTAGCTGTCATTGACCATTTTAATAGTCAGTGGCCAGCTATCACCACTGCCCAGGGTAACTTATGAATACTTACATACTGACAAGTCTTGAGGTTCATATGTGTACAATCTATTAGAGTACCTTCCAGTTATATCAGCTCTGACCATGAGAGAAGGGTCTGCCAAGAAAGAAACCAAGACACTAAAATATTATTTAACATGTCAAGAGACTGCTGTATTAACATCAATACTAATAAAAAGTAATCATTATATATTGATAAAATTGGTAATCACGGGGAGCATACTGCTTAACCCTGGCCCATGATACTCCTTGGCCACATCCTCTGGCAGTGTGAACAGCCTTTGGGGAAGCTGGATATGACCTCCTATCCTGGGGCTGCAGCCTGGACCTCTTCAGTAATCCACTGGACCAAACTCTCCACTCCGGGGGAGATCAAATAGCCTTTGAGAGTCATTCTTGACAGCAACTAGTCTGAGCCATAAACATCTGAAAATCATTTTGTTTCTCTTATTCTAAAACAAATACCAAGCAAATTTATAAGCAAAATTAATTTTCATACATGTGAATTCATGGTAAATCAGCCTAGATTTTCCTCTTAGTTTGCCAATCTGTTAATCTAGTTTGGAGCACTGTACTGAAAGAGCATAGGGATATTGATTTAATAGCACAAGTTGCTTTTTAAAACTATTTTTTAAATTTACAAATAATGTAGTGAATCTTAACTATAGAACTAAGAGGAGCATGCTTTGATTGGGTTAGAATGACTTCTGCTTAAAAATAATAGTGCTTGAGCTAGCATTTCAGAACAAATAAAAGCAAGCGGGCTAAGATCCACCAGTTTTGTAATCTGATAAAATGAAACTACACACATACCAACAAACATGATTCTTGGCACATATTTCCCATCTGGTGACAAATTTTTATCAGTGGTCTCATGCTAGCAGCAGAAGAAAGAAATGAATGTTATTGGATTGTATTATTTTTAAGTTAGTATAAAATATTTTAAGTAAACTAGATTTTTAATATGTTGTGCATTTTGACTTTTTACAACTCTATGTAATATTGTATGTCAACCAATACTTAGCTTGGTGTGTTTTGAAAATAGGAAAAGAGGGGGCATTCAAATTTTCCATTAAATTTTGATATTAAGAAAACAACGAGTTCACGTACCATAAGATTCAGCATGATGAAATCATTCTGAGCCATTTCTTGTATTTCTTCATTTTGAGCAAATACCTTTTTTAGTGCTGTGAAAGAAAACAAAATGCCAGTTAGTTTTGAGTATCAAGACATCTTCACTATAACATAGCAAAATAAAGCTAGTATTTTGCATGCATTTGCATTAACAATTTGAGTGTAAAACAGTTCTCTTGCCTTTTGCCACTTAGTCCCTCATTGGGAAGCAGTGAGTGACAGAATTTGTCCATGGAGGCGTTAATAGATAATCACATTAACAAAGACACTAGTTCTATAGTTTCATGCAGCTCATCGACTCATTTGTTGAAACAACTTCCTTCAGTAAATTTTCCCACTTTGCCTTTTTTTTTGTGTGTGGGAAGAAGAGGGATATCACATTCCATAGGGCATGTAATAGATACATATTTAGTAGATTACTAATAATCATGGTAGTCTTTGAGCATCTTTGTAAAATGGTGGCACTCTGCAGTTGTCTTTTTTAAAATGGGATTTGCTGAGCACCTTCTTAACGACTCATATATTTTAGACATATAATAAAACCTCATGAGGTAAAATTACCTTGGCAGTATGGACAATCTTCCAAGTGATGAATAACCATCAGTGGCTTGTTACTAAACAAAGAAAGGGTGGAATTAGATAAGTGATTAACATTGAGTCAAAGTCCACTATGGGATTAAATGTAAAGTTTTGATACCTTAGATTAGACTTAAAAATCCAGGATTTATAAATCATAGCAATGGATCTATTGCAGTGCCATTCAATATGTGGCCCCAGAACTCTCTTGATGAATGAGTATTACCAAGAAGCATATTAGAAATGTAAATTCCTATGCTCCATCTCAGATTCACGCAATAAGAATTACTGGGTGTGGGGATCCTGGAACTGTAGTATAATAAATTTAGGAGACGATTTTTATGTACACTACAGAGTAATTAGATAAAAATCAATTATATCTCCAGACATCATGGGATATCTTTTCCAATGAATAGTTGGTACATGATTTCAAAAGAGTCAATTTTTTCATTTTGCTTTTTAAGTTTTTACAAAGTGGCTAGCACTATTCAACTATTTTCATGTCCTTTTATTCTAGTGCCAATCTACATTTTTCAAACAACCTAAATGAGAGTTCTCTGTCCATACGTTTTTGAAGGTTTGAACACAGGGCCCTGTGCTTGCTAGGCTTACACTCTACCACTTTAACAACATCCCAGCCTTTTTGAATTAATTATTTTTCAGATAGGGTCTTATGTTTTTTTGCCTGGGCCTAGCCTCAGACTTTGATCCTCCTACCTACTACTCCCAAATAGCTGGGATTACAGGTGTGAACCACCATGCCTGCTTGTTTTTTACATAGGTTCTTACTAACTTTTTGCCTGGGCTGGTCTCAAATCACAATCTTCCTATTTCTGCCTCTCAAATAGCTAACTTATTTCCTACTCTTCAGATTAAGAGAAAAATGAGAACATTAACTATAGCAAGGGACAAAGAATTATGATTCAGATATTGTTATTGTTTGTTCCCAAAGGTTTATGTGCTGGAAGCTTGGTCCCCAGTGTGGTGGTGTTGAGGTAGGAGAACCTTTATGGGTGAGCCCTAGTGGAAGGTAATTGGGTCCTGGGGGTTCCCTCAGGAATATATTAATACTGTTGCATGGGAGTGGGTCCAGTCTCCTGGTCCTGTATTTGTTTGCATAGGAATATGTTGTAAGTGGCCTGGAACCTCTGAGTTCTCTTCTGTATGCACTCATGGCAAGTGATACCATCTGCCACTGGGGCTTCATCATTGCCAAGCCTGTGCTGGTGCCATGTTCTGGAACCTCCACAGCTGTGAGCTAAATGAACCTCTTTTCTTTACAATTACCCAGCTTAAGCTACTATTTTTAAATCTTTTTCTTTTTGATTATCATACATTAATAATACAAAGGGATTTCATTGTGATAATTCTATACGTGTTTATGGTGTACCTTGAACAAGTTTATCCTTTCCCCCACTTTAGTCCTTTTTCCCCTTTCTTTCTTTCCCACTCTCTTTGAAACAGTGTTTGGTGGGTTTCATTATGCTGTCTTCATATGTGTGTATGAAGCACACCTCCATCCTCTTCACCCCTCAGCATCATTTCCCTTCTCCCTCCTTCCTCCTGCTGATCACCCCAAGACAGTCCCCCATATACATTCCTGCCCCATCATCATTATCCTCCTGCTCATCATCTTAGGTCTAGGTTGTACAAATGGTGAGTGCTTATGATTTTTGGCTTTTTGAGCCTGGTTTATCCCACTCAGCATGATGATCTCCAGTCCATCCATTTTCCTGCAAATGACATGATTTCATTTTTCTTTATGGCTGAGTGATATTGCATATATATGTATATATAATATATCATATTTTCTTATCCATTCATTGGTTGTTGTACACCTTGGCTGATTCCACAATTTGGTTATTGTGAAGACAGCTGCAAATAAACTTGGGTATGCAGGTATCTCTATTGCGTGTTGATTCACACTCCTTCAGATATATGCCCAAGAGTAGTATGGCAGGGTCAGAAGGTAAGTGTACTTTTAGTTTTTGAGGAACCACCATAATGATTTCAATAGTGATTACACTAGTTTACATTCCCACCAACAGTGTATGAGGGTTCCTTTCTCCCACATCCTTGCCAGCATTTGTTGTTTGTTTTCTTCATGATTGCCAATCTGACTGGGGTGATTCATATTTCCTTTATGGTTAAGGATATTATTTATTATGTCATATATTGATTAGTCATTTGTGTTTCTTCTTCTGAGAACTGTCTATTCAATTCATTTGCCCATTTATTGGTTGGATTATTTGTTTATCTTTTGGCTCTTTGTATATTCTAGATATTAATCCCTTATCTGTTGAATAGCTGGCAAAGATTTTCTCCCACTCTGTGGGTTGTCTCTTGATTCTGGTAGCCATTTCTTTTGATATGCAGAAACATTACAATTTGATGCAGACTCAATTGTTAATTCTTAGCTTGAGTTAATTCTTTATAACAACACAGTGCAGACTAAGACAGGTACATAGGATGATTTTTAAAATGTATCTTTGATGCTGAGAAAATTGTGAGCATCAAAGGGGACAGATTCAGCATAAGTCTTTAAAAAACATCTAATGCAGGTAACTATACAAAATGCTGTGATTACATATGCCTGTGCTGTAGCCAAGATTTTTTTAGTCCCGATAAGTGTTAAATAGAAACTTTGAATTGTTAATAATTTTATTTAACCCTCAAACTTGGAATATAATTAAATTTGGATAAGAATAAGCCCTCTGACTTACCTTTTAAGATTTATAATATAGTTAGAAAGCTGCTATTTATCAACAGTGTCAAACTCATAGGTTTAAAAGAAAACAGACTTTAAGATCTGATAAAGTATAGGTTTTTAGAGGCAGGTCTAGAACTCAGACCTTCTAAGCATCAACCTATAATTTTTCTACTAGATAACTCACTTTCTGCTTGAGCTATGTGGGTGTGGGTGACATAGATACCTGAGACTAGGTCAGTGTAGGTGTGTGGGTCATTCTGTTTACATGAACTGCTACCATTCCCCTCAGCACCTACACAACAACTGGAAACAAGGACAGCAATGTTTAGGAAAAGAGACAGAAGTAACTCTTGGCAAACTAACTCTGGCATCAGATTTCTGGGCAGTTAGAGTGCAAGGGAAAATTTACCAGGAACATGAAAGACTCATTCTTCACAGTTCATCTGTGAATAGCTGTTTACACATTCCAGTCAAGACACTCTTCCATTTCATGAAAAGCACAGGAGTATTTTTTGGCAGAAGTTAAAGTAGCAATAGTTAAAAGAAGGTTCCAATTTTTTCTTTTTAGTTGGATCAGATAGAAAATATTTAAGGGTTTACAGCCATGTCGTCTCATTTGCAGCTAAATGATGCCATTACCACACAAAACACCCATAAAGGATGTATAAAAATGAGCATGGCTGTGTTACAGCAAAACTTTATTTATGGACACTAAAATTTGAATTTCATGAAATTTTTGCATTCCATAAATATCATTTTTTTCTTAAAATTTAAAAATATAAAAATTGTTCTTAGCTAGCACACCACATAAAAACAGGTGGTCCCTGATCTAAAAACCTCATAAACTCACACTTCATATTGTGAGAAACTAAGTCTGGGCAAAGAGTATCATTTGGTAGCTGTACTTTTGAGACTCTTTAAAATCAGAGGCTGCAAAGGCCTTGCTGCTTAGCATCATTTGGAGAGCTGTCTTTTCAAATGGTACATTTTTTCTTTTAAAATCAATTACAAATTTGGTTGGTTTAAAATAGGAAGTCAAAAAGGTAAAATTCTTCCTTCCACTGCTATCTTCCAAAAGTATGCAGTGTTGCTGCTTTGTATATGTTTTGTTCCAGAGATTTTCAGGTCATTATCTTGAACATGTATCTATGTTGCATTTATGCACATGCATGTCTGCATGTCTGTGCACATGTTTGGATATATATTACTTTCTTTTTAAGAAGCATAAAGCCAGAAGCAAAGGTGTACACCTGAAACACACCTATGAGGGAGACTAAGGTAGGCTAGCCTGGGCAACTTAGCAAGATCCCATCTCAAAAATAAATAAATAAATAAAACTACAAAGACTAGTACACAAAGATTGACACTTTATCTTAGCTATATTCCACTGTTCTTCTATATGGCACAGTGTTAAATGGATGCATTTTATCTAATTAATTCCCTTAACAATGGGTACTCAAATTGTTTCCAAGCTCCCATTTTTACATTGTTTCTGCACATTTTCATTTCTACAAGCATGTATTTGGTGAACAGACAATTATTTACTTACAATTTTGCACATGGGTATGTATATTTATGAAGGAATTTCCAGAAGTAGAATTTCTGGATGAAGGAGTGTGTACATTTATGTATTTTTCATAGAAGCTCTACCAATTTATATTCTCTCTGGTATTGTAAAAGGTAATGTCTTTATTTACTTTCAGAAAAATTGATTATTGTTTTTAAAAATTTTAATCTAATAGATGAAAGAGAAATTAACGTGTTTTTTCTAAAATAGTCAATCCTTCTCATATGTTTGAGTTATATACTGTTCTGTCCTGTGAAGTATCATATCTTTTGTCCATTTTTTCTATTGAGTTGAACTTTCTCTTATTAATTTTTAAGAATTTTTTTTAGTAGAGAAATTCATCCTTGTGATATATTTGCAGTTCTCTGTTTCTCTCTCTCTGATACTCTCTGTCTCTCTCTCTCTCTCTCTCTCTCTCTCTCTCTCTGTGGTTTCTCTCTCTCTTTCTTGGCTTGTGGTAAGTTTTTAGTTATACAGAAAATGCATGTAATGGTAAGTATCAGTAGTTTATTGTGAGCCTTTTCTCTCCTTGGTCATAAGCCTGTCAGGCAGGACTGAGGTGGGACAAGGGGAGCCTCCAAGGTAAAAACTATAGTTTTATTTATGCATCAAGGCTCCTGTCTTGTGTCACCCTAATCTTAGTCCTCCCTTATTCTAAGAACTTAAATAAAATTTTTGCAATAGTATCTTCTAGCACCTTAATTGTTTGATATGTATAATTAAATCTTGTAACCTGCTTGATATAAATGTGTGAGATATAA